TTAAATTTTCAATTGTTAAATGGGAAAAGTTTAATTTGTTGTACTACATAATTAATATTATTAAATGCTACTTTGGAAAACTTTAAAATATAAACTTTAACTATACTGATCTCAATTTTTTTATTTAAAATTTTGTCATTATTATATACTGCTCAAGGATGTGAAAGTGATCTGGCTGTAACATCCGTCACTCAATTGATCACCAGGGTTGATTATACACCACTGAAAAATCATTAAGCAGGGGCCGGCAGGTAGCATGGTGGTTAAAGGTGCTGGACTCCCACAGGGTTGACCGCGGTTTGAATCCCAGACCTGGCAGCTTGCTTTCTCACTTTCTCTTTCTCTATCTCTCTCTGGTCAAATGAAATAATAATAATAATAAATGGAATTAAATAAATAATTATTTAAAAAATCATTAAGCATTTTTTTTTTACTTGTTATAAGGGATAGGAGGTCAAATTACTGCGATAGAAGTTCATAGGACCAAAAAAATCAAAATAAAAAAAGATGCTGAGACAGTTCGTGACCCTGCCCAGCTGCTGCCCTGGTATGTCCATTTTCTTCTCCACTCTTGCTCTGTGCCGGGGAGCGCTGACCTATATTAAACTACCGAAATAGCTTTCCTCCCTCTCTGGTTTCTAGTTCAGTCGATAGGAAACACTAGGAGACTGGAAGGAGAACGGGAGAAAGGTTAGCTTTATTGCCCATCTCCTCTTCTTCCAGGCAGCAATCTAACGGTAACTGCCTTTCTCCACCTTAGGCTACCAGAGCTTGAAAAGCCTCTCTCCTTAGCTATGGTTTCCACTGGGTTCCCATCACAGCCCCTTCCCTTTCCTCTGCCAGGGTAGGAGAGGTAAGGACTTGCCGCTCTCACAAGTTCCTGGGTGCATCACTATCCTTTCCTTGGTTCCCTTTGTCCTGCTCATCCCTTGATAAATTGTCTTTCCATGGGCGCAGGAGGTGGCGTGATGGTTAAGGCACTGGACTGTCACGTGGCTGACCATGATTCAAGACCCAGAAACTTGAAAATCACTCTGGGTGATTTGTGCCTGTGTGTGCCCAAAATCCCAGGAGGAGAACTGCTGTGTGGCCATCTCCCTTAGGAGGGGGGGATTTCTCACTTCCCTCTCTCTTTCTCTCTCCAGTGAGTATACACACCCAATGGCAAAAGTCTTAAAAAAAAAAACTTTTTTTTTATTTTAAAAAATGTCTTTTCATTAACCTCTTTTGTTACTCTCTTGAATGAGCTATTTTCTTTCTTCTGATGTTTATAACAATTGGCACTGGAAGTGGACCCAGGAAAAAGTCTCTAAAAATGGGATTTGAGGATTGAGTTACCTATCCATATGATAAGAGCATGAATAAGCAAGCGTCTTTCTAGGAGTAGATGGGACCGTGGTCATCTGTGGCATCACAACCTAGATGACCACTGGTGTGAGCATGTGATGCAGTGCGGGGAGAGACAAAGTCCTGGGAGCTGAAAGGGCTTTGGCACGTTGGCACTGTAGTAGCAATGCTGATTACAAAGACCCGGGAGGGACTCACTGCTTCTGACAGCCTTGCAGAAAATACACCTCAAAAGTACCAGATAAAATATTGAATTTCAGGACCAGCAGATGGCATAATAATTACATCACTGGACTCCCACATGGTTGACTGTGGTTCGAGTCCCAGACCCAGCAGCTTGAAACTCATGCTAGGCGCATGTGTGTGTATGCCCAAAATCCTGAAAGAAGAATGTAGAAGGGACTGTGGTATGGCCATCGTCCTAGGGAGTGATTTCTCACTTTCTGTCTTTCTGTTTCTGTCTCTCTGGCAAGTGTGCACACCCTAAACCAAAAATCTCTCTCAAAAAACAAAAAACAAACAAAAAAAAAAAGAAAAAAACCCTTGAATCCCTGAGTAAAATAATGAGTGGAAAATCAGACTTCATGACAGTATTTTTTTTCTGAGAGATTTTTGCTATAGGGCGTGTACACTCACCAGACAGAGAGAGACAGAGAGACAGAAAGCGAAAAATCACCCTCTAGGGGGGATGGCCACGCCACAATCCCCTCTTCTCCATTCTCCTCTCAGAATCTTAGGCATGAATACACACACAGCCAGCGTGAGTTTTAAGCCACCGGGTCTGGGACGTGAACCGCAGTCAACTACGTGGGAGTCCAGCGACATAGCCATTACGCCAACTGCTGGTTCCCGACTTCATGACAGTTTTTTGAAGAAGTTCCTCATCTTCCACAGCTGACAGGAAGATATGCTTAGGGAACAAGCACAAACATAAATAATAGATATAGGCATTACAAAGTTGTGATACCATGAACGTGTTTCCTTTCCAAGTCTTTTATGCTAAGACGGTGGTCTTCAACTGGGAACATTTGCCTCCCACCAAACATTTGGCAATGTATGAAGACATTTTGGATTGCTCCTACCAAGGAAAATACTACTGATATCTATAGGTAGAAGCCAGAAATGGTGCAAGCATTTCTTAATGCACAGGACAGGCCTGTGCATAATTCTTCAACTCAAAATGTCAAGAGGGCTGAGGTTGAGACACTGTGCTAGACTAAGAGCACTGGTCGAGAAGATACACGAAATCATCCCCCAGGGGGGATGGCCACACGGCAATCCCTTCTCCTTCATTCTCCTCTTGGGATCTTGGGCACACACGCACACACACACCTGGTGGTTACACTAACTGCTGGTCCCAAACCCTAAATCTTCTTGAAACTTCCTTGCTGGTTGAAGGAGACCCTCATCCTCATACAAGAAAACTAGATTTCCCTTACATAAAAACCTAGTATTTGATCATTTTGACCTAACGAAATCTTAATCAGCAAAAATAATCAGAAGATATTTGCTTGCACGTGACAGGGATAGCAGTATAGCTTCACTGCTTTACTTGAAAATTATTATCAGCTGTGTTCTCTGTCACTCTACAGTCCATTCTCTATCAAAATATGATCTTTGAGGACCAACAGTTAGTGTAATGGCTATGTCGCTGGACTCCCACGTAGTCGACCACGGTTCGCGTCCCGGACCTGGTGGCTTAAACTCACGCCAGGCACGTGTGCGTATGTGCCCAAGATCCCAAGAGGAGAATGGAGGAGAAGGGATTGCAGCGTGGCCATCTCCCCTGGGGGGGTGATTTCTTGCTTTCTATCTCTCTGTCTCTCTCTCTGTCTGACGAGCGCACGCACCCTATAGAAAATAAAAGAAAAAAGAAAAAAAAAACCACTCTTAAAAAAAAATGATCTTCGGTGTCTTGAAGATACATTTAAAAAATTCCAATTGTCTATCAGATTTATATCATTGTGCTAACTGTACCTATTAATCAGGAATAAATAAGTATAATACATATTTAAGTAAGACATATGCATGCCAAAAATGCATGAATAAACCCTCCAAAATCCAGTCAAGGACCTGACACATAAGTGAATTTTCTAAGGGTTAGTAATTAGACATCTAGGTATAATCTCTGTAAGGGACAAATGTTGCTTTCCCTTCTACCATTTGCCACAAAGTGAGGCATAAAGCTTGATTGGGCAGCTGTGGATTGTGGGGGAAATACATACTCCATTTGTACATCTTGTTCTAATATCTTGATAAATAACTGTTGAGTACACCAGTTCTGAGAAAGATCTAGATCAAGAGAAGTTTCCACAGACATTCCTGGCTATAAACTGCTCTGTTATTTTATGACCCAGAATATCAAATTGTACTAGAAATATCAACGGCAGATAGAAATGCTGGATAGAGCCTCGAGCAAGCCGTAATAGGTTTTAGAAGGAAAGTTTTAGAAGAAAAACTCTAAAAATAATAGTCTTCTATTTGTAAAGCAGCATCTAGTTTCTTAGTAAGCCCTGGCAAAGACCAAACACCAATCACAGGGCATCAGGTGACTACGACATGAACCAGTCGTCATGAACTGAGTGTTATGCTACTTACCTAATCATCAGATCAGAAGTACACCTCAGACTTCTATTGTCAAACAAACATGGTCTACGTAAGATTCAGGCCCAGATGGTGTGAGCAGAGCAGAGCAGGACCAGCAGGTGGCACTGTGATTAAGGTCTTAAACTCCCACATGGCCAACCGTGGTTTAAGTCCCTGACCTGGCGGCTTGAAAATCACACTGGGTGCATGTCGTGTACCCGAAATCCCACCAGGAGGATGGAGAGGAAGGGATTGTTGTGAGGACATCCCTCCTGGGTGGTGATTTCTCACTTTCCCATTCACCGTCCCTCTCTGTCTCTCTCTAGTGAGCACACATGTCCTATGGCAAAAATAAATAAATAAATAAATAAATAAAGAGTAGAACACAGCAGATGGCTTACTCTTTTGGTATTCACCCCTACTGCTTACCTCCTTTGTCTTGACCTACACCTGTGCCTCATAGGAACTTTCCTATAATCAATAAATAGAGAAGGACACAACATGGTCTGGCTTACTGATGTTTGCCCAAAATGAGTCAGAATGAACTATGTATTACAATTCCACTCAAAGATGATCCTAAAAGAAAATGGAGAAGGGCAATAGGATTTTAGGAAGAAAATGGAGTTGTCCACGTCACAGGGAAGAAGAGATCACCTAAACAATAAAAATACCTTGATTTATGGTTAAGTCACTAACAAGTAGACAGCTGGTCAGGAACCTACAACAAGACTGAAATAGCCATGACAAGGACAAGTATACTGAGTCCAGAGTGTGAGTGAAGAGATTCGCGTCCCACATAGCACGTCACCAAAGGGCACTCACTGCACCATAGGCTCCCAATAATCCGATGGGTAGAAGACCTGTCCTTGTGTTTGCCAACTATTATTTCCCAAGCCACCTTCACGCTTAATCAATAGGCTCACGCACAAGGTGGCCATGGTGAAAGGAACAAAGGCTCAACAACATCTTGACCCTGTGTGAACAAAGGTTTAGGTCATAGCACCACATTCACAAACATCATAATAAGCCAACCAGCCTTAGCTCAGGCAGAGGATCTGAATAATTGGTCACAAACCAACACGAGAGGATCAGTGTAAGCTTCCTGACCAGCTACAGGGCAGACCGCAGCACCTGTCTTTCGTGGTAATCCATTATTTATTGTGTTCTCTCTCTTTTCCCACTATCTTAGACAAAGGACACAAGCAGAGGCTAACATTTTAATTCAGTTCCTGGTGGGAGTATAACTGAATTGACATCATCACTATGAGATCCAATAGCTGATAGGACTTTGTGTTTCTGCTGCCTTGGGATCCTCGTTTTCCCCTGATGAGCAGAGAAGAGCTGAGGATGCTGGATTGCCTGTTCCTCACCCCCACCCCTAAGCTCTGCTCTCTAACCTGCTCTGTGCCCTGGGTAGCTGGGCCATATAGACTGCACTACCAGGTTCCTGGACCTTGGCTTTTGAGTTGGGTTTGTCGACGGGTGGTAATAGCGGAGACTGGAAGATGGGAAGAGAAGTTGGGATGTTCATCCCCCCAGTTGCCTTCATGCCAAATCTTGGTTTAGAGTAACAGTCTAAGGCCACAGATTCTGTCTGGCAGCCTCTCCTGTGACAGCAGCTGTCCCTAAGTTACAGTCCCATATTCTCCTCTTCTCACATCCAGGCCGAAGGGCAGCCGTGGTTTCCAGCACGGCTAGCCCCCTGGTCACCATCATCCCTTGCTGGTTCCCTGTTGACCCTGCCCATATCATTGTAAATAGTGCCTTCTTAAAAAAAAAAATTATTTTAACTTTATTTTATCATTACTGTTATTATTTAATTTGACCAGAGAGAGACAGAGCAGCAAAGTGAGAAAGCAAGTGCTTTTTAACCTCCCTTTAATTGATCCCTTGGGCTTTCTGATTTTTTTCCTGCCAAAATCCTAACTGATAGAAAGACCTGCATTTCTCAAGAGTGGCAAACTGAGGCCTTGAACAGGATAATCATGATTGCTCACAAGAGGCATTCATTCTGAGGACCCAGTTACACAGAGAACGTGCCTCCAGAACCTCCTTTTCCACATTCAGGTCACACGATGGTTTGCGGGCTGGTGAAGAAGGTTTTCCAGAGAGGAACACACAGTCAGCAATGAGGTAGGTCTCCCACGCAGACCCCTGGGCCCAGTGCGAACACTTCCCTGCCATCTGTCCACGAGCTCACAGAAGCCTGTGTATCCAGAGGCGCCACTAATTCGACTGGGCAGGCCTGGTTTGATGCATGGCCCAGCTCCTTCTGCGTGATAACCCCACAGAGGCCGTGGAGAGCCCGCCCCTTAGCCCGCCCCTCTGCTTCCCATCACTCATTCGTTTACATGTGAACATGCATTCACGCACGGGTGCATGCGTGCGTGTGCACACACACACACACGTGCGTGGGAACTCCTGCCTATGTTCTAGCCACTACCCCTAGCATGGGGGTAGTAATGATTTTAAGTGTCTCACAAGACCAGTGAAAGATTTCCTGAGCAAATAGAAATCCCCTTTTTTTTTTTTTTTTAAGAGAGAGGTTTTTTTGCTATAGGGCACGTGCATTTACCTGAGAGACAGAGAGAGAGAGAGGCAGAAAGCGAGAAATCACCTCCCAAGGGGATGGCCACATCATAATCCCTTCTCCTCTCAGGATTTTGGGCATACACACACATGCACCTGGCATGAGTTTCAATCCACTGGGTCCAGGACTTGAAACGTGGTCGACAATGTGGGAGTCCAGGGCCTCAACCACTACACCATCTGCTAGCCCTGAGATCACATTTTAAATGGGAAGGAATGATACAAATACTTGATATACACAATGGAAAATGATATAGCTACTAAAACTGTTTACAGAGGTGGAAAGCAGCATAGAAAATGTTTATAACAAAGTGCGGAAGGGAAAGAAGAAAGACGCGAAGTTGGGTGTACAGTGCATTTTACACGATATAAATGCATAAGGAGCACATCGGGGGAAAACGGACTGGAAGAAAATCCGCCAAGATGGTAATAGTGAGATGGCGGGTGGCATTTCTCTGTATTTAATACCTTTCTTATGCTTTGTTATAACCTTGATAATTGGATAAGTAGGTTCTTTTTACATGGTTTTTAAATATTCAAACTGCAGGCATGAAACAAAAACCCCTTTGAAGATGCCCCTCTTGAGCCTGGTCCCCTCTTGAAACATTCTGTTTCCTTTGTCTGATTTCTTAGGTGCATAGGAAAATTAAATTAATGTTTATGGGAAGTTTTTGTCATAAATGGTATACTATGCAAATTATTCCACATTTTCACTTTATGCACTTTGTAATAAAACTCTGGATCTTTCTACATGCTACATACATACCTAGCTTATGGATTTTTAACCTTTAGTAGAAGATTCTAGTATGGCTGTTTCACTATGGAATATCCAGGACACATAAGGTTGCTTCCATTTTGTCACTGCTAACATATTTCCTGGGGCCAACTGGTGGCATGGTGGTTAAGGCATTGGGCTTCCACATGGCTGACTGCGGTTCAAGTCCTGGATCTGGCAGCT